GTTAGTGGCGACGTCGAGCAGGTCGCGGGTGGTACGGGGCTTCAGGCATCTAAGCTTGTGGATCAGGGACTCGCAGGTCATCCCAGAGAGGAATGTGTTGATGACGTCTGCGTCGACGACATTAGGGAGGGAGTTGTATCGTTGGGAGAACCTACGGATGTAATCCCATAGGGACTCGTTGGGCTCCTACTGGCAACTCTTGAGGTCCCAGGAGTTTCCAGGGCAGACATACGTCCCCTGGAAATTCCCGACAAAGACCCTCTTGAGGTCCACCCAGTCACGGATGCTGTCGTGTGGGAGGAATTCAAGCCATGCTCGAACATGTTCCCCCACGTAGATGGGGAGATACTGAATGATGAAATAGTCATCATCCACCCCTCTGGCTCGGTAGGCAAACTGTGGGAGATCGTTCCCCTTGTTCATGATGTCGTGTTGGACTTGGCGGGCGCGACCCCGGGCGCCGCCTGCCGGGTTATGCGCATAGGGCGCAACGTGCTGCACCGAGCTTACCGGCGCAGGCGGCGACTGGTTTCTGCCGCCGTTGACGTAGTTCCTCGGTGTGCCCTTGCGCAAATGCGAGGGCCCCCACACGCAGGTCTAGAGGGGTGTGAGTTTGCGCAGACTCCGCAATGACCGGCGGCTGTCCCGGAGCGTCCGCCATAGCGCACTCCCGGGACGAACGGTGGCTAGGTGCCACATCGCCGATGCTGGAGTCGTCGCTCTCACCCTCATCATCCGTGAGTTCATGGAAAGTGGTAGGAGTATAGCTCGCCATTCCCATGAATTCGGATGTGAGGGGGGATGGCGGCAGCGTCCCTCGGAGCCCCCGAGCGCACGCGTCCGCGGGGGACGCGAGGCCGTAGGGGAACTGATCGTATGGTGTCCGTGATGCGGTCAATACGGTCCCTCTGGATAATCGGCGGCAGATAGTAAATAGAGAGTAAATTACAGTATACATATTACTCACAGCAGGGTTTGAGCAGAGAGTTTGCTCGGAATGAAGCACAGATGCCTCGTCGTTAAAGTCATCGTGCGTCCCAGAGCCGATGGAGGGCGCCCCTCCGATGGGTGTCGGAACAAGAGTCTCCTCGCGGAGGCATAGTACGCCGAGCCGGTTGGCGACGAAGTCTAGGCTTCCGAAGAGGAAGGCCTAGGATGGCTCGAAGACGGGTGGAACCCACATCCCAACTGGTGGGAGAGCAGAAAACTCGAGTGAGCCAAAGCGAGTCGTATCGCCTGAGCCCGCCATGGCGAAGGTGGCGGAAAAGTGGGTCATCCGATGACCAAAAAGTGTTGAACGTACAACGTCTTCCCCACGAACGGCGCCAACTATCGGTGCAGAAAGTGACCAACAAGTAAATATTTGTAGTTTTGTCGTACGTTGTGATCGGAGGTGGCATAGCACTCAATGACACAGGGTTTATACTGGTTCAGGCAACGTGCCCTACGTCCAGTTCGAGTTGGTCGGTGATTTTATTCATGAACCCAGGTGCTCGAAGTTTGCAGTGGGGTTACAAACGAGAAGGAGAAAGATGGGGTGTACGAGAGGTCCAATCGGACTCCGGTCAGAAGGGCCAAGAGTGACGGGAGCCCCGCTATGAGCTAAGTGTTCAAGCGTGTGCTTGAGGTTCGAACCTGGCAGTTCTGTGGTTGTGAACTAGTGAACTTGATCGATCTAATGAATCTGGAATCACCTGAATGTTGGGAGAGAGCGCATCCCCTTTTATAAATGAAGGGGATGGCCTTATAAGTGAGATGGAGAGAGTACGTATGCTTCTAAGCCTTGTTGCCCACGCCGGCGGGTACAGGATGATGGTAGGCGCCCACAAAACTGTTGGATGTCGGATGCACGTGGGAGGTTGCGTCGTTTTGTTTGGGTATGGCAGATGTCGGTACCTGCTATACTGTTGATGCCCAGAGACATGTGAGGAGTTTCACCATGTTCACTCGGTATGGTAAATGTCGGCGCCCACAACACTGTCGATGCCTAGAGGCATGTGGAGGGAGCCTTACCGTATGGAAGTTAATGGCGCCCACAATACTATAGAAAAAATGTCGACGCCTACAACACTGTTTGTGTCAGGGAGGTTGCAGAGTACTGTTTCTGTAGGTGCACAGGGTATGGTCCCTGGTATCGTGGTTTGACTTGTGCGCCTTGCCTTGCTTTCTTCGTTCGTTCACTGGTCCTTTCCGAGCGGGCGTCCCTGGTCGGTTGGTCCCAGTCGGCTCTGGTTGCGGTAGTCGAAGAAGAGCAGTGAGCAGGGTTTTTGCGTACCCCGGTCGGAAACGTGGGGTTAGAGTTTGGAGTAGTGCTTTGGCCAGGCCTTCCGGTCGGAGAGGCCGTCCGGAGGCGGCTGGAGCCCGATGTGAGCCCTCCGGTCGGAAAGGTGGGCCGGAGTCGAAAAATGAGCGCCGCTCCTCCTCGGCCAGACCTTCCAGTCGGTGATTGGATCGCCCTTCTGGCCTGTTGTTTAGATACTTGGGCCGGCCCTATGAGTTACGCATTGTCTGCTTGGGCCGAGCCTTTGTTGGAAAGCCAGTCTGCGAGGGACCCCGGGTTTATGAACCCGACACTATGATTTCTGGATACTAAGGGCCTAGTTGAGAATCTGTTTCAAAACAAAGAGGTGCAATGTAGCTGTTTAATCTAGTGGCAACTGGCTGTGACGATGAGGCACGCTCTATGCACTGATCTCTGATGGAATGAGAAAAAGATAAAGTAAGTTGGGTTTAAGTCATAAGGTGAGATCAAGTGGGAGAATGTTAGGATGATCTCCACCAGTTGGCCCAACGGCCAATTAGGCCCTTGGTCCGCGCCCTGATCGGGGGCGCTAAACCGGTTCTCCTAGTTGATGGCCCCCCGTCTTGCAGCGCCATAAAAGGACGGTGGGGGCTGGGGCACAAGACATGAGGTCACCGGTAGCTGCAAGCCCCACCCCGAAGTTCCTAAATCGTAACCTTAGACCGATCGAGAGGGGCGTTGTGAGCGACGGGAAGCGCCATCGTCTTCGCCACCGCCACAGCACCGCGCCTACACGACTTCCCCTACTACGACTCCAGTGGCCATGTCGCGGTGGCGCCATGACCGTGACTACGCATGGCGTACATCAAGTCTCCTATGTAAGTCAAGTTTATCCCCTGATCTACGATCCTAGAGGTCCTATATCAGGGCGGCAGCCACCTTGGCTGGACCACGTTCGCCCACAGTGCAAACTACCGGAAGATCCCGCTGTGCACGGCGTCCGTGGTGTCGCCAGAGCAGACGGAGAGCATGTGTGGCCGCCCGCTTGGGCTCTACGCCATGACTGCCGATCTCTACATTGCCGACGCGTACATGGGGCTCATGAAGGTCGGGCCCAGCGGCGGCGAGGCCCAGGTGCTGGCGACCCAAGCGGACGACGCGCCGTTCCACTTCGTTAACGGGCTCGACGTCGACCAGGCCACCGGCGATGTGTACTTCACCGATAGCAGCGCCACCTACCCGCGCAGGTTCAGCACCGAGATCATGATGAACGCCGACGCGACTGGGCGGCTGCCCAAGTACGATGCGCGGACGAAGCAGGTCACCGTGCTCAAGGCCGACCTGCCGTACCCCAACGGCGTGGCGGTCAGCAGCGACAGGACGCATGTGGTGGTGGCGCACACCGTGCCGTGCCATGCATCCAGGTACTGGCTCAAGGGCCCCAAGGCCGGCCAGTACGAGCTCCTCGCAGACCTGCCTGGCTACCCCGACAACATGAGGCGCAACGCCAGGGGCGGCTACTGGGTGGCGCTGAACCAGGAGAAGGCGTGGCTCGACACGACGGCGCCTCCAGCAAAGCATCTAGTTGGCGTCCGTCTCGGTGTAGACGGCACGGCGGTGGAGGAGCTGACGGCGGCCAAGGGTGTGACCCTGAGCGACGTTGCCGAGAAGGACGGACAGTTGTGGTTAGGATCGGTAGAATTGGCGTACGTGGGCCTAGTTTAGATTACTACACCGCTAAATTAGATTGTAGGGGCAATAATGCACCCTAGTTTTTTTTGGAAAGGAATACCCAGTATTAAGATTAGAAGGTACTACTAGCTTTAGTTAGACTGCACTCCATTTAAGTAAACGTCATCATTATTGTTATATTTGAAGTGGAGGGTGTGCCTCGATCTTATGTACAAACTTCTTTAAGATTTTAGAGTTTATATATATAATAATAATATAAGCGGGAATTTCATGTGTTATCTGGGTTTATTTGCTTTTGTATTATGTCCAAGTTAATCCATAGCATAGACCAGAGAGGACAATATTAACATAATACAAATATTATATCTGCGGTGTGTCATGCATAATTGTGGATTGCTTGTAGACCTTCTTCGTAGCAACTCTTTCGCTATTGTTGCTCTACTATAAATAATTTTTTCATCGATGTTACCAAGAAATACACCTGCATATGCAATCTTACCAACAACCACACAAACTATTTTTAATAAAATTTCAACAAAAGGCTGTAGTTGTTGGAGATCGGTCGTTAGTCCATGATATACTGTGTTATTGTTGAAAAAAAACGAGATGAAATATGTATATTTTCTGTCAAACTGCTTTGGACGACTAGGGCTAACTAAACTAATTTGGAGATGCAACTAATTAGTCTGGAACATTTTTTGGCTCTACTTTGTTGTAAATGGTTTCTAAGTAATACTCTCTTATAATGCAATAATAGTTCTGAGAGAAAAAAAGCTTCTAGTAGTATACTATTTTCAGTTTGTCAATGTCGTCTTTTGGCTAGTTAGTCTTATCTCACTGATTTGAAGGAAAGTATAGAGATAACACTAGAATTGTTCTAAAAATATCTTATTTTGCAAAATGTACATCTTAAAAATGGCGCTGAAAATTAGAAATACGAACTCGAGACATGACGAAAATTTGCCGAAAAGCAGCTGCGCAAACAGAAAGATCAGAGCAATCAGTGTCACAGCACAGGTGCCAAACTACAACCGCGGAAGGCGGCTACGCGTATACGAAGGGCACGTTAAGGCCCAAATAAGTAGACGGGCCTAAACTCGACGCCTTCGACAATGAGCCCGCGCTTCAGGTACCACCCTACCTCGAAGCTCACCACCACCTCCTCCTCGCCCGCGACCGCGGTCTCCTGCTCGCCGTCGTCGCCGGGCGTGCGCAGCCGCCCCATCTCCATCTCCAACCACCCGTCCTCCCGCAGCCTCGGCGGCCTCGTCTCCTCGGCGCCGGTTCCGCGGGAGACGGCCCTGAACTTGCGCGCCTCTGCCTCGTCGGGATGGAGGCACACGGCGTGGCGCGGCGCCGCCCCCGCCCCCACGTGGCCGGAGCGGGAGGCCAGCGCCACCGTCGTCTCCTGGTCCTGGAAGCTCAGGCCGCGGTGCCCGTCCGCCAGGCCGTAGACCAGGTACGCGGCGTAGGAGGTTGCCAGCGTCAGCTCGGCGACCGGGAGCCGGCCGTAGATGTCCAACGATGTGCACTCGACCAGCTCGCTCGGCCACGTCCCGGAACCTGAAAAATTAAAGAAACGATATTATAATTTTTTTTATGGTCTGATAGCAGATGCAAAGAGGAGACGACACTGATGTCAACATCGTCGAGCGAACACGAGGAGAAAATTTGTACATATTGAATTGTTTTTACCAACAGCATCTTGAAATTTAACCAGCAGCTCAGGTGTACGGGACTATCGAGAGCTTAGTGCAAGACTACAAACTAGTAACCGTCCATTCTGGAAGTTGACCTGTGCAGACCCGTGCCGTGCGTGTCTACCACTTGTGTTATTGTAGCGCGGTAGTTGCGTTTGCCCGGCGTTGCCCGTAATTTCTACACGGTTTCAGTAATTTCTACAGGGTTAGGCGACGTAGCCACATCAGCACTACGCGTGTACCTGCCGTACAATGACCTCATGGCAGTCGATGGAGGAGGGGACTCGCCCCTGCAGAGGATAATTTCTAGACATGATTTTGTCAGGATCATAAATGTGTGTACCTCTATGTGTAACCCGTAGATCTGGTAAGGCTCCTCGTCCTGGGTTCCTCTGCATGCCTGGCTGCAGCCTCGCGGACGCCGGTACTTGGCACGGTGGTGAGGAGGCGAGGTGGCGATGCCGTGGAGGTCCAGAGGGGATGGTGTAGACCTGCAGGGGGCGACGATGTCGTCGGTGGGCACATCCCGTCGCTGGCAGCACCTCTTTAGGATCGGATTAGGGTTTTCTGTGGGTGGGATGGCGGCTCCAGTGAACCTCGTAGTCCGAGCCTTGATCCCCACCTTCCTTTTATGTGTGTTGTGCGACAGGGGCCCACCAACCGTATTAGGGTTGGGCTCCCCCGATCAGGGAGCAGAGACAAGGGCCCAATAGGCCGTTGGACCTATTGGTGGAGATCAACTAACATTCTTCCCCTTGATCTCATTCTATCTTTCAATTTCATATCATTTACTTTTGTTCATTCCATTATAGATTAGTGCATAGAGCATGTCTCATCGCCACGGTCCATTGCCGATAGACTTAACAGTTCTACAACACACTACTCTGTTCTGAAATAGATACTTATCTTTGGGCCTTCTTTTGTCCAGGAATTTTAGGCTTTTCCTTAAACCCATGTTAGCTACATGTTCTCTGAATACCATGTTCTCTGAACATGTTGGGTGGTAAGCTTTTTGTAAGCGGATCCACGAGCATTCTTTCTATACTTATATGCTCAAGACTTATGACTTGATCCCGGACTTTATCTTTCACAACATAATACTCTATGTCAATGTGTTTGGCAGCACCACTTGACTTATGTTGTGAGCATACTGTACTGCCAGATTATAATCGCAGTATAACTTAAGTGGTCTATAGATGTCGTCAACCACCTTCAAACCGGGTATAAACTTCTTTAGTCAGTTCACCTGCCCGTTGCCTCATAACACGCTACAAACCGTCATACATTGTGGACGATGTAGTGATAGTTTGCTTTGAGCTTTTCTATGAAATAACTTCCCTTTGCGAGATGATAGAAAATCCGCGTCTGGATATATATTCACTCTCGCATAATCATAATCTGAATATCCCACTATGTGGAATGAATCAGATCTTCTATATGTTATCATGAGGCCTTTCGTTCCTTGCAAATAATGCAAGACTTCCTTTACTAATTTCAGTGTTTTATTCCAGAATTGCTCTGGAATCTGCCAAGTAAAACCCAGTAACAAATGCCAAGTCAGGGCGCGTACATACTTGAGCATGTTGTAAGCTTCCGACAGCTGAAGCATATGGAACCACTTTCACTTTATCAATTGAGCTCATATTGGTTCCTGGGGCATTGAAAATCCCCATATCTGTCGCCCTTGACTATAGAAGCAGGTAAGGGACTATATTTGTGCATACTGAATTTCTTTAAGATCTTTTCCATGTATGCCTTTTGTGACAGTCCTTATACCATTTTTCTTCTATCTTGGTGAATCTCGATCCCTAGAACGAACGAAGCTTTACCAAGATCTTTCATATCAAATTTCTTTGTCTCCAGTAGTAGACTGACATCACTACTAGTGTAACAGAACCGACCAATTATACAAAATTAAGTAAGAGAATCATCCACCAGAGCAGACGATTGAACAAACTTAAGCCCGTATAACCCGGTAGTCCGTGAAATCACAAAGGATTTCAAACCAACTCGTGTCCCAGCCATGATCGTAATAAGTTTAGCGGTCACCATCACATATTACATAAAAGTTCGCAATCTCAGATACATCAGAGTTTAAACATAGTTATTACAAACCAGGTTCAATAAAAGTAGCGGAAGTTATTTGTTCAAACCACACACACACTCACGCTGAGTTTAAATATAGTGCCGGTGAATGATCATCTCCAACAAAAGCATTAGATGAGACGTAAGGAATGACCATGCCCATGGTCCTAAGCATCACCATCGCAGGATAAAGGCGGTTGATACAATAGCCGTAATACATACCGCCCATCATCGCAACAAGTGGGAATAAAACCACGAGTGAGAAGGTACTCGGCCCGGACTTACCCGACATAACCGAAAATAAATGACACCAAGGATTATGAAGGCTTTATAATAGGGTAGCTGACTCATTTGCAAAAGAAGCATTTTTTTAGCATTTTAAGAACCTTTCTAAAAGCATTATTGTCAAGTTAATTAGTATTAACCTGTCGACTAGATTTGCACCTATACTAGAGTAAACATGTGATTAAGCAATTAATGATAACCACTGATCATTAAACAACTTCCATACTGTCATATTCACTATAACTGTTCAAGTGTTCCATAAACATTTACTACGATGAAGTCACTCAAGTCAAGTGCTCACTATCCAGGAGCGATGGCGATTCGAATCGATTCCTAACCAGCTGGTGATTTATTCCTTACACAAATCTCGCTCACCTGCTAAAGTGAGATATTGATCACCGAGTCAACTTTCCAGGTATCTCTCGAGACCCTCATACGCTCTAATGGCACGTGCCTGTCTCTTCTTCTGCTTCTTCCCTTTGAGCTTATCCTCACTACGCAAGCCAGTCAAAGTCCAGTAGGTACTCTCGAGACCCTCATACGCTCTAATGGCGGTGAACATAGCACTCATTGCACAGTTGTCGCTAGCTTTGTCCTTCACCGGACCTCGACCAATGCACTTCCCTGAGGCTGAACCCAAATGGCATTACGAGGATCATCCCTAGGAAAAGTACCAGCCAGAGCTGCTGCAAGCTCACTGGGAAATCTGCTCATAATGTCTCTAATGACATGGAAGGCTGCTCTCTCTGCACCCTCACCGGAGTCGACCCTCAAACTCAAGTGCCAACCATCCCAATCTGGAGCATCACCGAGAGCAGGAACCGTGATCTCCACCATCGCTAGTCCATCTTCCGCTAATCGGCTCATTCCAAGAGTACACCGGCTCTTGACCCTCTGGTACCCCACATCATGGAGCACTCTCCAAAGCAAAGTTGGCATGCCAAACTCGCTCAAGAAGGTGTCCGTGGTGGTGCGGTGCTCCCTCGGGGCCAGCAGGCGTCCGAGGTGCTCTTCCTCCGGTGGACTTACTGGGCGGTGCTTTCGTGCGGGCCATCAGTAGCAAAAGTTCTTTCATTACCTCGGGAAACATATTTTAGGTGATACCACTTTTATCAAAATGAGAGAATCAATTTATAAGGGAGGAATGCATGACATGAATGAAATGCACAAGTAACTTGATGTATGAACGCACGTGCGTTCTCTCACAAACTTAGGAATAAATAATTTCTAACGACGAATTCGGTGGCATACAACGATCTCTCAATACGTAGCTAATACGTTCTACGATAAGCGTTGTTATGTACTGCGAGAAGATTCATTTCAGTCCAATTCCCAATGAATGCATAATAGCGATAAAGTTTTATCTACACGCTCTACGAATCCCGGACACGTGTACAACGGTAGTAACTACTACGAACCATCGTCCTATTGACGGCATCGCCTCCACAGACGGAAGACCCATACATGAGATACCTTTGTAAAACATGCGTAGAACATGTAATTACTCTCGACATCATATAAGCATTCACCCTAGATCGGTGGTGTATCCGATCATGCTCTCACAACTCACACTTACCGAGGCGTGAGGCAAATGATCCATTCATTACCACTCAAACAAGTGGCACTCATACAATAGCACGCCGTATGAGCGACGACGAAGAAAATATGATGCAAGAACCCCAAGTCAAGATTTAATTAAGCCACCTAAAGTCCTTAATCGGTCATAAGGGATATGATCATCGGGCACACTTTAGATTTTGAAAATCACGTTTTCCAAATGCCTTTTGTTTTAAATACACTTGTGAACAATGAACACGCTAAACCATGCTCGATACCACCGTATGTGAAAACCGACCAATTATACGAAATTAAGTAAGGTCATCATCCATCGAAAGCGCAGACGATTGAACAAACTTAAGCCCGTATAACCCGGTAGTCCGTGAAATCACAAAGGATTTCAAACCAACTCGTGTCCCAAATGCATGATCGTAATAAGTTTAGCGGTCACCATCACATATTACATAAAAGTTCGCAATCTCGGATACATCAGAGTTTAAACATAGTTATTACAAACCGCTTCGAATAAAAGTAGCGGAAGTCATTTATTCAAACCACACACACTCACGCGGAGTTTAAATATAGTGCCAGCGAATGATCATCTCCAACAAAAGCATTAGATGAGACGTAAGGAATGACCATGCCCATGGTCCTAAGCATCACCATCGCAGGATAAAGGCGGTTGATACAATAGCCGTAATACATCCATCCATCTCTGCAACAAGTGGGAATAAAACCACAGTACGAGAAAGGTACTCGGCCGGACTTCCCGACATAACCGAAAATAAATGACACCAAGGATTATGAAGGCTTTATAATAGGTAGTGACTCATTTGCAAAAGAAGCATTTTTTAGCATTTTAAGAACCTTTCTAAAAGCATTATTGTCAAGTTAATTAGTATTAACTTTTATCGACTAGATTTGCACCTATACTAGAGTAAACATGTGATTAAGCAATTAATGATAACCACTTGATCATTAAACAACTTCCATACCGTCATATTCACTATAATTGTCCAAGTGTTCCATAAACATTTACTACGATGAAGTCACTCAAGTCAAGTGCTCACTATCCGGGAGCGATGGCGATTCGAATCGATTCCTAACCACCGGTGATTTATTCCTTACACAAATCTCACTCACCACTAAAGTGAG